TATTTTAATTTTTTAATATATTTTCTATTGAAAATTCTCTCCTTAAAATTTTATAAAATCAAATTTACCTCCTAAAATTTCATAAATTTTAGTTTTCTCCATATACGTAAAATGGTTAAATAATGGGTGCTCGGTCGACACAAGAAATGTTAACCAAAAATTTGGTTTGTCACATATTTATTCTTAAAATTTATATTATTGTTAATTTGTAGGTGATTTCATAACTACATTCTTAATATACATCCTCTTATTTAAAGTTCTTTCAATCATTTCATTCCCTACATTTCGTCGAGTCAAAAGTAACGTAGCTAAACTTCATAGATGAACAAAACCGAACATTTCCATATAATCTAATAGCAATCTCATTTAATCCACCTCCAATATCTATGGTCAAAATAAATGTACAACCTTTTGAAAGTAAGAAGCTTTGAAGAAAATATGGTATATTTGAAAGAGATCAAGTCAAGTAGTTTAACAATATAAGTTTAAATTGGTATGTTTGTGATTTATCGTGGTGAAAATTTAAATTAAATACATCAAATTATTAAAATTCATATAAATATATATTCATGCAAACATTTAAAAAATTAAAGGGGTAAATAAAAATTATAAAATATCTTGAATATAAATATATATATTCAGGAGCAGATTCATGGAAGGGGTTCACCCAAGCCAAGCCACACTTTGCGGCAAGACTGCATCTATATGGCGTCCTTCATTGGTGAAAACAAATTCATTTATCCTCTTCCGTACCTGCCAAATAAAATATTCCAGGGAATGTCCCAGTTATTCACAGTGAAGAAATCTTGGGCATGATGAGGGGCTGGTACAGTGCATCGCCAGAAGCACGCACGGTCCCCGAGAACGTGAATGCAACTTCCACCACATGGGTTATTCGATATTCGGCACCCGCGTCTTTCATAATTTGTGAGCAATCGCTCAGAACTGATTCGCTGAGGAATTGGAAGCTTCCAACGACGGCAGCTATTACTTGTAGGCATTACTCACTTTAAAACGATGCTAGGGTTCCCATTTCCATTCACATCGATCATTTCCGTCGCCGACACCTGGGGTTCAGCATTCAGGATGTGCAATACAATATCATTGTTAACCGGATCAATTTTTTCGATTCGATTCGAATTAATTTCAAGTAGTAATTTCATAAACTTAATTCAAACCAAGAAAATTTCAAGTTTAAATTGAGTCGTAAAATACAACTCGAATAATAACTCAAAATTTTAGTAATTAGTTGATTGAGTTTTAAATATGCGTTGAACCCCTTAACTTTGTATGTTATATATATATATTGTGCATGAAAAAAATATAAAGAAATATATATAATTATAAAAACCATTTAAATTATAATCAAATAATATAATAATATCATAAATATTTACAATTAAATTAAAAAAAATCAAAAATTCGACTTGACTCAAATTTTATAAACTTGACTCAACTCGGAAAAAATTTCAAGTCGACTTCGTGTTGTAAAATAGGACTTGTTAACTTGAATAACTCATAATTTTTTTCTTTACTCGGTTTAACTCGATTGAACGCTAACCCCTAATTATTAAACCGAGACCTAAATTTTCATTAATTCCATTGTTCATATGCAAAATTCTATGTTTGTGCACGAACCATGTGTCCTCCGTGGTAAAGGAATTGTTATTATTTTATGAAAACTTGGGTTCGAGCACTATAGATACCAGGGGTGTGAGCGTTCAATATGGAAGGATTGAGAGCTATGTTTGAACAAATACTATCTCGTACTTACCCTAGATTATTCAATTTTCTTTTTATGTCCGTCTATGCTCTTAATCAAATATAGCATCCTGAGTAATGATAAGAGCAAAGTCAATTTTAAAATTAAAGATTACTTATAAGCAGGGATTGAAAAAAATTCAATTCGATTAGGTTGAGCTTTTTTTAATAAAATTTAAATCTAATGATTATAAGATAATATTTATTCATATTTTTTATTATCGAATACATATTCTACCGACATAATTAATCAAATTCAGTCTTTAATAAAAAAATATTTTTTTAATATTAAAATAATTCAATGAGTTCAAAAGACGATAACTTTTAACTATTGATACCATTGAATTAAATGTGTTCAAAAGAATGATAATCTTTAACCACTATGTACAATGAAAAAAATTATGCATTTAGTATATATATTATTAATTTTGGTCTATTTTAGTACTTAAACTTTCAAAAAAAATTTCAAAACCATACCTAACATTTAGTTTTTGTTTCACTTTAGTACCTCCCCTGAAAATTTTAACTACACTGCATTTTTTTATAGGTAAATTACATCATTTATCACTAAGTTATTTTCTCACATCTATTTTGATACTAAAGTTTATAAATTTTCAATTTAACTATTCAACTTTCAAATTGTTCCTATTTTAAAATCTTTAATTTATTTTATTAATGATTTTGATATGGCATTTTTATTATTTTACTAATATATAATTAAAAATAAAAAAAATAAATTTGAAAGTTAGAGTGATTAAATAAAGTGTAATTTGAAAGTTGAGTAATTAAATTAAAAAAATTAAACTTTAGTGACCAAAATAGGAGTGAGCAATATGCAAATCACCCATTAAGTTTTTAACGGTGTGGTACTAAAAAGAAATAAAAACTAAACATTAAGTATTGATTTGAAAGAAATTAAAATTTTAGATACTAAAACTGACCAAAATGATTAGTTTAGATACTAAATTACGTAGTTTACCAAAACAAATTCTGCATATAAGAAATATGAGACAAAATCACTAAACATTAATTGGGCTAGTTGTAAGCAAATGCAAACCCATTAAATAATGAAAAATCGAAGGAAAGCCCATTAAATAAGTCTCGAAACAGTACCATTCATTAGCAGTATCAATGATTCTGGATTAGAAGAATAACTTACTTGGATGAATAATTATTTTGAAAATAAAAAAAAGATGAAAAATTCAATGCTTCTCGAAGAATGTTACGTGGAGGAATAATAAAAAGACAAAAACCCTTTGACCGTTCGTTATATTATTGCTTAAACATGACTCGTTCAGTTTTACCATACAATAAAATGTCCTCGTATTTTTGGGTTAACTGAATGGTTCTTCTTGAAGGTTGTTTATTTTCTAAAAATAAAATAACTTGTTCCATTGTTGATGTGAAAAAATAATTCTCCCCGCTTTGTTCAATTATGGCCAGCTTTTTCCAGCTCCTATTCATAATCGTTGACTGAATCATAAAGCTTTTTTGTCACAATTCAAGCAGAGATCAGAAGTCAATGCACGGTTTGGCGCACAAATTGGAACATGTTAATTGTTTTCCATTTGCAACGGTCACTTTATTTTATTTTATTTTTACCTCCACCAAAACGGCCACTTCCCTTCTACATTGAGTTGGAGAACGTGTTTTACACTAAATTATTCTTGAATTAATAACCTTTTTAACTTTTAACTGTGGTAATTTTAAACATTGAACATATTATTTTTCACATTTTAAAACCCTTTTCAGGCATAGTAGTACAACTTTCGTTTACAGAAAATAAGTATCGCTTTAATCATACTAACATTATATTAGATTATAGAATTGACTTTGAACAGTTTTTTGAGTTAAAAAATAATTTAAGTAAAAATCATGGCAGTGACTTTGACGCTTGTACTGAAACCGAGGATTAAACTTTGATCAAATCGTTTGAGTTCCATAATTTGTACGGTGCATTAAAAAATTCTTTTTTTTTTTGGATAATTCTTAACTTTTAGTTACAAGCTTATATTATTAAAAATGGTATGGTATATAAATAATTGTTGATTATATGATATTGTTTTATTAAGTATCTTAATTATTAAAAATATAAATAAATTTTTTAATTATAGAGCGTTGCTTTGTTGAGTCCCTAACTATTAAAAATAATAAGTTGATCACTCGATTATTCATATATTTTAAACTAATTCTTTTTTGTTAAAAAATTAACGGTTATTTAAGCAGAACATCAACTATTGGCTGGGAGATGATACAATAGGATCCTAGAACCGTTTAAATTGTATTTTGTGTTCGTTTATATTATGACGTCGAACCAGTGATTGAAATATTATGCCATCATACTAGTGCTTGAAAGCAACGATGGTGCAACAAACATCATTAAAATATAATTTTATTTTATCCCAGTCAATATATTAATGGCTAGCTTAGACGACAGTCATATTTTTAACGAGAAATGATAAATTTGAAACATATAAATATTTAAATGACCATTTTATAACTTTTAATAATTAGATGACTCAATAAAATAATATCCTATAATTAAAAAATCAATTTATAACTTTTAATAGGTAATGATCGGAATAACCTTATGTGTACTTTACCCAGTTAAAAAACCATATGAACCTCTATAGTAAAAATTTACTTTAAACAGCCACAAGTGTAGTGACACGTGTCCATGTGACGTCTATTTTGGATCTAGAAGGGAGGGTAGTAGAGTAATATCACCGACTATTTCGGGGAAGAAGTTGAAAAGTTTACCGCGGTGGAAGAGTCTGTCATGGAAAGAAGGTTTCTTCCCAAAATATTCGTAAGAAGGTGACGTTTGACCCACTAAGCAACCGACACACCGATGCTGATTTTCGTGTATTTTCATCTTTGTTGATTTGTGGACTAAATACAAATTGAGAAATTTTCCAATCCAAAATGTACAGATTAAGTTTACTCAAATGAAAAAGCCGGGTCAAAATCGTAGTCCTTATGGCTAAGTAAGATTTTACGGCTCCCACCTCAAAACGTTGAAGAAACTTGAAAGAAAAGCAGAGGAAACTATTGAGGAACCAGCTAAGCTAAAGCCCATGATGTGCTTGCATGTATAAATATGTGTTGCTTTTTGCATAACTTTATATAAACAAAGAATATTTCTGCATTATTGGTTTGATTTTTTATTAATAATTCATATCTACTTTTGATATATATATATATATTCCCTTCGGCATTCCGAGTTCCCTAACTCCCAAAACTCTAAAGTTCTCTGCTTGTTTTCTTTTTTTAGTTTCTTTTTCCTTTTTGCAATATGAGTTCTACAATGTTTAAGGTTTTTATGATGTTGGGTCTTTTGGCCACCGTTTGCATGGCTCAGGCACCAACATCTCCGCCTACTGCTGCTCCGAGATCCTCACCACCGTCAGCGGCGACTCCAACACCCGCTCCGACACCGTCCCGAACACCTTCTCCAGCTCCTTCAGCTGTCCCGACCCCATCTCCCACCACTTCCCTTTCGCCTGCTCCAACCGCTTCTTCACCTTCTCCTTCCATCTCCTCCCCTCCTACTGCATCCACCCCAGGAGGCTCACCTGCACCGACTTCCGGGCCTTCGGCTGACCAAGGCCCTCCCCCCTCCGCCGCCTCCACCAACGGCGTCTTAATCGTTGGAACCGTCGCTGCTACTTTCTTCGCCGCCCTTTTGGCTTAAGAAAGTGAGTTCCTGCTTTTTTGGGGCTGTTCATGGGATTTTCGGCCATGCTTCTCGAGGGTCTTGTTTTCTTGCTCTCCTTGTTCATTTGTCTTAGATTTTCATTTTTCTCTTTTGGTTTTAACTTATTTGTTATGCATCGTTGTTGTTTTTAATTATGATTCTATTATTTTGGGTCTTAGATTGGACGATTGTAAAGATTAAGCTGGTGCATAGCTATGGCACTGGAATAAAACAGTTTATTATTCTTTCCTACGCCAAAAGGGTTGCAATTTCTCATGATTCTCTCTTTTACATGCTTCATATATTGAGATTTATTTCTACTTTTAATATTTGACAATGCAATATAAATTCAAAAAAAAGTGGGTAATTTTCAATAATTAAATCTAAACCAGACTATGTAATGTGATACAAATTTTTTTTAAAAAAAGAGAGATTTTGCTATGTATAATATAGCCATTGAAGATGTTGGTAATGTTGTTCAAATATCGTGTCATACAGTCCATACTATAGGCTTCGTATGATAATACAGTTAAAAGTTGAATAAAATTCTCAGTTCCCATTTTAAAAATATAGATTCCTTGATAACGACAACAAGATGCAAGTAGAGGTGATTTGAAAAAACTCAGACCTGAAATGACTTCTAATTGTAATTTTATAAATTTGTCTTGATTCGAATAAATTTCAAGTTCAAATTGAGTTATAAAATACAATTCAAATAATTGAACTTTATAGTAATTAGTTGATGAATTTTTAATATTTTTTAGAAAAAATAATTTTGCATGTGAGAATGATGAATACTAGTATAATAAAATTAGATGAAAATAATAAAATATATTGATTTTCAAACGAAAATGACCTCAATGTATTGATTTTCACACGAAAATGACCTCTCAATTACATGATATTGTTTTATTGAATCTTCTTAATTATTAAAAGTTATGAAATTTTATCTTGATTTTATGATATTATTTTGTTGAGTCCCTCAATTATTAAAAGTTTCAAAATAATCACTTAATTATTCATTATTTTCCGAATTCATTATTTTCTGATAAAAAACTAACGTCAGTCTGAGTTGGATATTAATCTATTGATTGAAATATGACAGTCGTTTGAGATTCTAAGATCAGATTTTATCATATCTTAGACAACAGATTAACATTCAACTCAGACTATAGTTAAATTTTTAATAAAAGATAACGAATTTGAAACATAATGAATAGTTGAGTGACCATTTTGTAATTTTTAATAGTTGAGGGGTCAACAAAGTAACATCATATCATGTTGTAACTTTCGATAGTCTGATGACTCAAAAAAGTAACACTATATAATTAAGGATCATTTACCCAAATTACTAAAATACATTTTCAAGTGTATAACTTATTGATATCAAAATCGAATGATTAGTATTTGGGTAAACTATAGAAATGATTACTATCGTTTGAGTTCTATAAACTTTTCCTTACTGAATTTAAAAAAACATAAGATTTAGTCATTTTCGTTTCGTTTTAATTAAGATGTGATCACCGAAGGTTAATGACAGTTAAACCTTTAACGGTTTGCTGATGTGGAACGATAAATATATAAAATTAAAATTACATCATTTCCATGCATATAACATGTTATTGTTTTGGTCACTTGCGTTATTGTTTTATTAAGTTTTTGTCACTTATGTTATCGTTTTATTAAATTTTGGTCACTTGGACGTTGAATGTCGTTAGTTTGATGACGTGACCTGTTAGTAAAATAGTTTAATTATTATTTTAACCCTTATATTTTAAACAAAATACTGATTACGAGTCATTTTGTAAATTTAAATTAGTTTATGGATAATATTTCAATTTACCAATTTTTAATATTTTCTTCCCAACCCCCAATATGGCTAATCTTCTCCCCGTTTCTTCTTCAGAAATCTCCGCTCCATTTCTCCATTTGCCTTCTTTTCAATGACTCATGATACATTTCAAGAATGAAAGATTTCCAACTTCTGATAACAAATAATAACAACACAAGTTTAGAGAAAAATGAGAGGGTTGCATTTAGAGATAAAATGAAGCTGGGTAATCCCAGTTATACAAACTAAAATTCAATTTCCAAAGATTGAGATTACAGAATGCCAAATCCATCAAGGAACAAGAAGATAAATCAAAGGATCCAAATAACCCGATAACTAGAAATTACTCTTCGTAGTGATTTTCCTTGATAAAACGCCTCAAGTGAAATATAATCAATAGATCCGAACAACCCGATAACTGGATTCGTGAATTCATCCACTGAATCCAATCCAAAATCTATGGCCTTTAACATCGAATCTTTATTTTTACTTAGGAACAAGTAATTTTTTGATTATAGATCCCTATGAATCACCATTAACACTTACGATATACGTGATCTATCGCACCATCGCCACCGTGCTGACCTTCGAGTAGCTCATTTCCGTGATGACCCGATTGAACAACTCACCGCCATAGCAGAGTTCTAGTACTAAGTGAAAGCCCGCATGATCTTTGTAAACGTCGTGGAGGTCGATCACGTTCGGATGTGACCAAACGTTCTCGACTATCTTTCGCATCACGCGGATTTCATTGATCAACAACGCGTCAGAGATAGAATCCTAATACTAATGCCACCATTGAAGAAGCTCTAATTTTCTCAGCTCGAGATAGTGGCATTGTCGTGGTGGTGAATCTTTTCAGAGTTTTAATAACAAATTTTCTACATTTTTCACGATCCTCATTACTTTTTATACCTTTTCTTACAATTGAGAATCCACTTAATATGACTTCAAGTAATTAGGAACAAGAAGGCTATTAAATGGAGCAAAGATGTCTGAAGAAAAGCTTGGGGAGAAAAATATTAAAAAAATTAGTAAATTGAAATGTTGTCCCTAAAGTAATTTGAATTTACAAAAAGACCCATAATCGATATCTTGTTAAAGTTTATGTGTTAAAATAAAAATTAAACCATTTCACTAATGGGTCACATTGTCAAACTAACTACATTTAATGTCTAAGTGACCAAAACTTAATAAAACGATATAGTAAGTGACCAAAACTTAATAAATCATTAACGTAAGTGAACAAAACTTATGTTTTTCTGAAAGGAAAGTTATCAAAAATTAATCCATGTATTATCTACATGAAAATGATATAATTTTAATTTTATATATTTGCCGTGCCACTTCATCAAACCATTAAAAGTTTAACGACCGTTAACCTTCAGTGACCACATCTTAATTAAAACGAAACGAAAGTGACCAAATCTTATGTTTTTTGAATTCAATGAGAAAAAGTTTACAAAACTCAATTGAAAGTGATCAAATCTTATGGTTTTGAATTCGATGAGAAAAAGTTTACAAAATCCAATTGAAAGTGACAATTTTTATGGTTTACCCTTAATATTTTAATGAACATATATATTTAGTGAACATGTATATCCATATGACCTCTAAGCCTTATTTGTATTTGGTTTTATCGTTTATATGAATTTTAAATTGTTTGAATTTATCTTTTTATATTTTGATCAATAAAAGAAATTTCAAAGTAGTAATCATTTTGATGGTTTAATATGATATGATATGTTATATTATCAGAGTTAAGATGTTACATAAACTATATATGGATATATTCATGAATGGAAATAAGAAGATGAATTTATAAAATTTTAGTAGGGAGTAAGTTAAGTGGTGGTGGAACTTCATGAGGCCAAGGCTCCCTTTAATCGGTGAGGTTATCTTATATTACCCGACATGCCATTAGGGTAGCAGATTGCTTGGTAAAGACAAGTCGCTCTGTGGACTTTATGCTTTTAAAGTTTACAACAAACTGTATTTATCATTTTAAAGTTTGATAATGGTAAAAAAATAGAAGTAAAATAAATTAGAAATATTTTTTAATTTTTGATTCACGTTAATCTATTAATAAATTAATTACTTATGATTATAAAAATATTTTTAAATACTTTACAACAAAATTATTAAAAAATAAAAGTAAATTTAAAAGCTATTAAATTTATATATTGAGAACGTAAAAAAATATTTTTATAAAATATACTATATATTGAGAATTTAAAAATTTATACATATTCATTGAAAATAAAAATTTTATAGAATTAAAATTATGATCGTTTTTTATTTAAACTATTTTCTTTAAATTATGAAAAATAAAGCGAACAATGTTTGGTAGAAAAATAAAGTTCAGAATAGTAATAACTATATACAAAATCATGTAAGTTTGGTAACTAGAGTGGGGTTTGTCCTAGTGGGTTGAGCATGTCTGCTCATCCTTATGGTCCTAGGTTTAATTCTATCCAAGAGCAATTTCATCCCGTTTATTTTCTATCCAATCGGGTAATGATATGTGTCACATCCTGATTGAATAAAATAATTATTTAATTAAATAAATTTAAATTAATAAAAATATCCGTCAAATATTAACGACTAGTGGTCTGATTGAACAAATTAAATAGTTAAGTGGTGTGATTAACAAAATTGAAAGATCGGTGAAAAAAGTAAAATGACTAAATAATTAAGTGATCAACTGAGTAGTTTACAGTAACTTATAAAATTCAACTTCAAACGTCCAAACAAAGCAAATGAATTGCGATAAACTCCTTTTTATTGGTTTATAGAATAGAAGTACAAAACAACGACAACGGCGAAACAAATTTTCAGTTCTCAAGCTCTATAACGGGGATTGGTGTCATGATGACGACATGTTGCGTGATGAAGCGGTTCGTTTATTCCGCAATCTATATGATATTGACTATTCGGCAGTGGGTTCTTTTCCTTTGACAGGTTGCTTCCCCACCATCCCTTCCGATAATCTCACGGCTTTGATTTGAGTACCACTCCTCCTCCTGAAGAGATCCATGCTGCTCTCCGTGAAATGTCCCTTTTGAAGGCTCCGGCCCATGATGGGCTACATGCTGAATTTTTCCAATCTCAGTGGCCGTTTGTGGGACATTCAGTCTGTAATATGGTTCAATCAGTCTTCTTGAGAGGTGGAATTGAGCCTGAAATTAATCGAACTATTATGATTACAAAACGGATTAAAGCATTACAATTTAAAACTTTGTGATACATGCCAACAAAAGTACAAAATAATAAGAAAACTACGATTCAAATTATTCTGATATGATATTCTTCAATAGTATGTTGTCATCTCCTAATTTTAACCCTCGAATCTCTTTGAACCTACGTGTGAAACAATCACATGCTAAGTCGTTGACTTAGTGAGACAATAATGAGTATAA